TGTGATGTACGTCAGTCAGTGAGGCAGTCTGTACGTGCTATGTCATCAGTCGGTCGTGTCTGTGTTCAATAAACTATTTTCGCTAGAAAATACTGTCGTCCAGCGAGCGTTACTTGAGACGTAAACGCCACAATGACAAGGGAAGAATAAAACAATGCTCATCTTTCATTAACATAACATTTCAAGTGTCACGTTTAGTAGTTGGAATTGAGGCGGAGTGAGCTTAATCAGCCTTTCTAATCTGTGCATGCTCCCGTCGAGGTGATACAAATTCTTGCAAGGATAACTACACTTCCTTGGCATGACACCCGCTTGTATATCTGTGAGGCTGTGGAGCGGATCAGAGGCTGATTGACTCGGCAGAGCACCGCGAGGAAGGTGTTCTGAAGTGGGTTTTGGGGCCGAACAACCTAGGGCACAGGAGACAGGTTTAGCGTGGGAAAAACACGTTGTGAGATGCTGGCGGGTTGAGATCATACCACATATGCTTAATGCTACGTTCAGACTGCACGCTGCTGAAGCAGTAGGTTTATATTCCAAATCAATGCTTGAAGTGCATCAAAAGATCCTGCAGCGCGTTTTGAGAAGCAGGAGCAGCGCATCCTGACACAGCGCATCATGAGCTTCTGAGGAGCAGGGCGTACTTCTGAAGCAGAAGCTGCCGCAGTTGGAAAAATTTAACTTTTGCTTCTCAACGCGCCAACCAAACAGAGAAGCTGATCTGGCAATCGAGGCAATTACGAAGATTCTAAGGGCCCTTGACTGAGGGGGGGGGCTTAAAGAAGAAAAGATTAGTAACATTGTAATGGTGTTAATGGAAGGTTTGGATGGTCGTCATTCCCTGGGAAGGAGGCAAACCAGTCACAAAATCTAAAGCAATGTGAGACCAAGGGCGTCTTGGGATGGGAAGCAGTGGAAGTAAACCAGCAGGGGGTTGGTAGGATGATTTGTTTTGGGAGCAGACAGGATAGGGAAGAACATATACTCCCGGACGTCTTTTGCCATGGATGGCCACTAAAATCGGCGGGAGATGTAACTGAGGGTCCGGTGGAACCCAGGATGAGCCGAAAGCTTGTTTGAATCCAGTCAATAACTTGGAAGCGGGCTGTCTTGGGGACATAGAGTCGGTTGGGGGGTCCAGTTCCCGGATGTGGAGCCCAGGAGATGAGATCCTCTATCTCCCAATGGAGCACGCCAAAGGTATAGGTGGCTGGAAGGATTAGGGCTGGTTCCAGATCCGTGTCTTGTAGAGGATAGAGGCGAGAAAGAGCATCAGGCTTGAGATTCTTGGAGCCCAGACAGTAGGAAATCGACAGGTTAAAGCAGGAGAAGAACAGTGACTAGTGTGCTTGCCGGGGATTGAGCCGTTTGGCTGACTGGAGGTTGGCCAGGTTTTTAATTACCCATCCAGACTATGATGGGCTACTCAGATGCCTCAAGCCAGTGGCGGCACTCCTCTAAGACCAATTTAATGGCTAATAACTCTCTATCGCCCCCGTTGTAATAACAATCAGAGGGGGTTAGTTGACGAGAGAAAAAAGAACAGGGGTGGAGCTTACGGTTGGCCAGACTGTTGGGAAAGAACGGCACCCACCCAGTGTCAGAGGCGTCAATCTCAAGATTTAATTGTTTAAGTGGATCGGGGAACAGGAGAATGGGTGCTTGGGAGAACTTCTCCTTTAATTTTATGAACGTGGAGTTGGCATCAGGGTTCCAAATGAACGGGACTTTAGGTGAGATAAGGGCATTTAGAGGGGCGGCGATTTGACTGTAGCCCCTTATGAAACCGCGATAGAATTTTGCACAGCCAAGAAAACGCTGAAGCTGCTTCCATGTGTAAGGTATGGACCGCCTTAATCTTGCCTGGGTCAGATCAGACTCGTCCACCCTCTAAGATGAGACCAAGGAAGGTTACGGAGGACTGGTGAAACTCTTTTCTCTTTTGGTGTAACGTTTTTTTTTTTTGGAAGTATACATAACCTAATTAATATATACTGACAGCCACGCTATCTATCTTCTGATTAAGAACAGGGCTGCCCGCACTGACGTGGCTCAGGGATTACGTCACACGCAGCGCTGTGCGCAGTGCCCTAGTGCCCGCAAATTTAATGGTCCAATGAAGGTAATTTAAAAAACAGGACATTTCCTCACTTTCTAAAAAAAACCAGGACTGATCAAACGGCACCCATGTTTTGAAAATATTAACATCAGCTCTTCCCTGACAGCATGGTGGGAATTTCTAAAAATAACAAAGTCATCACTTATCCCGTGCAGTCGTACACCCATCTGGAATAACCCTGACATTCTACAAAAAACTTTCCGTACTGGAAGAATAAAGTTATTACATATCTGGATCATTTGTTTGAAGGTAGAGAGTTTATCACATTTGCTAGATTAAATTTGCAATATGTCATTAACAAAAATAAATTCTTAGAATATGAGCAAATTAAAGCTATAATTAGAAATAAATTTAAGCATATTATATATCCCATATATATATCCCATATCTCTAACCCTAGACTTTCACTGCAGCTTTTTCTTTATGCACAGACTGAAAGAATGTGTTTATTACAGCACGTGTTTATTCCTGCTTTCACTGGTTGAGAAGCATTGCTTCTCACCTTTAGGAGCTGTTCTGTTCCTATAATTTGGGCTGCCAATTGGAGTATCTGTATTGTTTAGATTCTCCCCATCCTCAGACTGACGCAGGGATTAATGCAGGGAAAACCAAGGAACTAGTGTTGGACTTTTGCAGAAGGTCAGAACAGACTCTTCCTGCTGAGGAAACTGAGGTCTTTAGGAGTACAGGGGATGCTCCTGAAGATGTTCTATGACTCTGTTATGGCATCTGCCATCTTCTATAGAGCTGTCTGTTGGAGCATTGGCTTATCTGTAGCTGAGGGAAAGTGACTGGACAAGGTGATCAGGAAGGCCAGTTCTGTGATTGGATACCCTCTGGACTCAGTGCAGGAGGTGGGAAAAAAGGATCCTAACTATATTAACATGACTGTTGAATAATGTTTCCCATCCCAAGCATTAAACTGTGCAAAACTCGAGAACTCCTTCAATGACAGACTGCTGCATCCTAAATTCACAAGGGAGGATTATCACAGATCCTTCCTCCTAGCAGCTGTAAGACTCTCTAACCACTACTGTTCCCAACAACCTCAATAAGTTGTTACATTCATGTTGATTTTGCATAGTTTCTATCTTAGTCAGTTTAATTAAGATGCTGCTCTCTTTTGCACATA